TGAGTGTGCTGCCAATTCAGAGGAACCTCGACAGGCTGGAGAAATGGGCCAACAGGAATCTCATGAAGTTCAAACGAGAGCAATGCCAAGTCCTGCACGTCAGGAGGAGTAACCCCATGCTCCAGCACATGCTGGTGGCCGACTGTCTGGAAAGGCACTCTGCAGAAAAAGACGTGGGGTTCCTGGTGGACAACAGGTTGGACCTGATGCAGCAGGTTTGTCCCAGTGGCAAAGGCGGCCAACTACATCCTGAGCTGCATTAGGAAGAGTACCAGCAGTAAATAGAAAGCCACTCTAGAACACATCCATCTGATTTGCATTCAGCCAGAGTTCATATCTCCAGTAACAGTCATGAGACGATCACAGGTTTGAACACAAGGTATGCTTACTGCTGGGGGCCCGGCCAAATGGCCACAAATACAGTCTGGGTACTGACTGTCTGTGTGCCGACCCACAACAACTGACCAAATAAAAAGAAAATGCCGTTAACTGGAAAATAATTCACTAGCAGAGCATGAAAGGGCTAAGTACCAGACCACCTCCTTTCTCCACAGCAGAAGGACCTGTTACTGAATGGCAGCCTGCACATCCTCACTCCCTAGCACAAGTGACAGAGGTTGGGACTGCAAAGCCATGCGCTCCAGCATGCCGGCTCCTCCTCCCTACTTTCAAACCCCAGTACATGCATCTACAAACATATGCATATAAACAGCAAATACAGACAGAGTGCTCAAAGCAAAGACATCTAGCTTCACAAGCTTAGTTGAAGTTGGCAGATACTCCTGGAAGCATCTGAAAGGACAGTAGTAAAAAAGCCAGAATTGTATCTGACTTTTTAATCCCCAGAGAAAATTTGTCCTAATTTCAAATGAAAGTACTAGATAAAAGGAAAAAGCAGATGGAAGACTTGCTATCATAAAGACCAGAGAAAACTGGAGGAACGAGGCACATGAATATCTTCCCTAACAGATGTAAGGTAGTATTTGCTCACAAAAAGAGCAAAGCCAATCTGTCCCTCTATGTTAGTAATTATATATTAATTATGCAGAAATCAGAAAAAGTATTTATGAGTGAGAACCTCTTTTCCATTGCTGAGCCAGAAAAGAAAAAGCCTCCTAAAACAAGTAGTATCAGCAGCAGAGGGACAGGAAGATTTGCAAGTAGGAAAAAAAAAAACCCAAACATACGAGCTTTTTAAGGAGAGAGAAAAATAAATAAACAAACTTGTTACATACAAACCTACAGGCCTCAAGATAACAGTGAAAGAACAAGCATGAATTGGCATTAGAGAGTGATGCTTTAGTACTGAAATATCAATGTTTTTATCATTTACTTACATTCATGATGGTATTAATATTAGAAACGGTTTCATCATCAGTTGGAAACTGGTATATCTGGATGCCATTACTAACTAATTCACTCATGATTTTGTTCTTGAACTTCTGTAGTTCGGTTTTAGAAATGCTGTCTGCTTTGCCTATAATTGGTATAATGTTCACCTATTAATGATACAAATTACATGAAATGTGTAAGACTTCAATTTTGAGGTGACATCTTTTATAAATTAAATTGTTTGGTGTTTAAAACTTCCCTGGAAAAGTCCAAACTTTTCCATCAATTGATATCAAAGCTTCACAAACCATGAAAAATACATTCACTAGCATCATTTAACAAAATAACAACAGATTATTTAATATTCTCCCTTAAAATTAATTGATTCTGAGAAAAGAACAAGGAAGGAGGTCTCATACAGTGAAGTACTCAAAAGAATAGCAACGCCTACTTATCAACTAAATGACATTAAGTATTTATCTCTCTGCTAAAAAAATAGATTGTTTTAGTCTGTAGCATCAGGGGACATGGTTCAGGTGTTAAATGAAAGTTGACAGTTTAAATACACAAAGAAAAGGAAGCTGGCTACCAAGCCCTGCCTACTCCTGAGCCTCTTCCTTGGGTTCCTTTCAGCTACAACAACATCTTTTTCACTTCACCACTGCAGCAAAGAGTTCCTTAAGTATCTGCTGGGAGCAGAGGAATGACAAAGACTGAAGAATCTTGCTTACCTGTCTTTACACTAATTATTCAGAACTCAAAATTCAGTTCTACTAAGGTAAACTATCCTATTTCCTGAAATAGTTATGACTGTAACTTAGGAAGTTATTAGATGCCAATTTTTTGTTAAAAATACTATCACCACTCCCAAAATATGCATTTTTCAGAACTACATACAAAGAATTAATGCCAATGTCCAAATATTTTGGAAGAACAATACAAATAATTCTTCCAGATTTCAGAAGACGAGAGTTTTACAGAGTTCCTCGATCATAGATGCAAAAAACAAGGAAAAAAAAAAAAAGAAAAAACCCTGCACACATTCTTTTCATTCTTCTGAATATTCTGTCTGAATGGAAATGTCTAAGTATGGAATCTCAAGAATGGATTCAAAATGGATGTTTTTGAAATAAGTCTTCTGTCGTAAGGAAAATGTCCAAATGAAAAAAAAGCATGCCAACTCCAAAGTATGACTTCTAAGATTACCTGATGATAGTCCTTAATTGTGTAGCATACAAAACTTAAGCACGTATAGGGTAAAATACCTAAAAACAAATAAAATGCTAGAATATTTTTTTTTATGACTGAGTTAATTTAGGATTGTATAAACAATCTATTACAGTTAGGAGTAATTCACAGCTTCAATCAAATTAGCTGAGGGACATCAATTTAGGTTTTCTATCATACAGCTTTAAGAATGGATGGAACACCGAGTCCTCAGAATTAAATTAACCTTTCCTCTGTCTTTTCAACATGAAAGTTTTTCAAGCTCTCGTTAGTTAGGAGAGAATTTCTTAGATAATGAATAGCAGAGAAAGACTACTGAGGAGACCAGTAACAAAAGAAAAGCAAAACAGCCAGAAACTGTGATTACAGCTATCAACATTGATGTTAAATCACAACCATTGTATTAAAATTTAAAAGCAATGCTACTCCGGCTTTAGATAAGCAATTAAAAAAAAAAAGTTATCCTTCCTTAATCTGTTAAACAAAATTAATTTCTGCTTGCAGCATCTAAGGTTTACTTGAAAACTAGTATCTCAGTACTTTCATCCAAGAATAACATTAATTGAAAGTACACATTTGTACTAACATGAGACTTAAATTGTATTGATTTGGACCACATGTAGATGTGCCCCAAGTCCCACTGCTCCCTCCTATGCCTACCACTCACTCGGAAACCAACAGACTCCCTTCCAGCCTCTTCCCCACCTACGGCTCCCAACAACTACAAAACTGAATTTTGCTACAAAGCTATAGGCCATTAATATAGAATAACTTTAACCCCACATAAAAAGTTTACAATTGCAATAAAACCGACGGTCCTGCCTTTCCCCTTGCCTGCAGCTGCACATTGCCAGGTAGAACTCAAATCTGTGCAACTGTCCAAGGAGACACTACTTTTCAGCTTGATCAGTTCCCTAACCAAGCAAAAATCTTTAGCTTTCAATCTAAATCAGTTCCCTCATCCAGGGAACTGGCTGCCCAAAACACTTAAGCATGCACAATGGGAAGAAGCAGTTGAGACCGCCTCATTCAATAGCAATGCAAATGACCATATAAAGTCAGCAGGATAAACGTTATCCATGCATACTACTTCCCTGTTTGCTAGCACCAAATTCAGCCTTCTGATCACCCTTCTGCCTGAAATGCAGTGTTGCTTCCCCCTCCTCCCCCAATTCAAAAACATGCTATTTCTCTAAACTAAGATTTTTCGTGTAACACCTTACATTAATGTCAAAACATCTGTTGCCCCTTTATGCTACAGAGAAGGAAAAAAAATACATATACTTGAAATTATTACTGATTGATATCTTGTAGGCTGATTTAAATGTATCTCTATGAAGCAATACAAAAATTTCCAAAGATTTTTTTCAAAGGGAAAAAAAAAACCCTAAACTCAAACCCTGCAAGGTACACTCATGTCACTTCCTGACTTAACAGTAATCTGTATATAATTCTGCAAGAATTACTTAAAAATGCAGATGTATTAGTTGAATAATCACTATTCCCAGGAAGAAAGCATGCAGAAGAAGATTCCTTAATCTGTGAATGAAACCTGGCTGGTCTGTAGTGATTCAGTCCTAAGCAAAAACTACAGGACTTTACAATGTCTAAAAGCTAGAGGCCAAATTCTAGTCATCCAATTTATAAGCAATAGAGAAAAATTAATTGCCCACAGATATGTCTGTTTTTTTCTCCCAGGATTATGGAGTATAGGATGACCGTATCCTATTCCAAGAATCCTCTTTATCTCTGAGCTGTGTAATCTGGTCTTGTTTTGCACCAAGCAGACCGTAACAAAAGCATAACAGTGCACGCTGTGGTGGATTTAGGAAGAAACTGAAGATAACTTTTGACATAGATTTATACACTCAATGTATGCACGCTGCTGTACCACCTTCTCTTTATGGAATCCTGCACTCAGCGAACGCGCCCAGGGACTTCCACATCCTGGGAAGGATTTCTGAATTGCCACTAGGAGAAAATGCAGTACTAAAAGCATCACAAGCATGTTCCACAATGAGATGGAAACCAAACTACAGTTAAAGTATATACCTTTTTCTTTGTGTATACTTGTATTTCTGTAGTAAGATCAGAAAGTAGAATCCATTGCAAAGGGATAAAACAACAAAGTTACATGCTGTTCACCTTCTCTCTGAGTCAAACCAGAACCAAAAATATTTAGAGTAGGTGGCTAGAAGCTAAAATCCCCCAAAGCAGAATTACTTTTGTTTTATCCTGATGGAAAAATATTTTCTCGGGATGCTGGGACTCATGAATCTATTTCCTTTTCTTTTGGAAGAAACACTGTTTTAAAGGAGTTCAGTAAAGAGAGGACACAACCTAGAAACTAAGTATTTTTGTGGTTTAACACAACCTCCAACTTCAAAACTCAGAGTAGAACAATATGCTCCATCAAACCGTCCCATTTTCTAGTATCACAGCTCTTTAGCTATCAGTGCGTATTACAGAGTATTTTCATAAACATTTTAGTCTGGCGTAAACCAACACCATAGCAGAACGAAGTGACGCTGCTCTCCCCTACCTTTGTCCCACCATACCTCCGCCCCACTTGCTCTGTGCTATTGAGAAAGTTCAAAATGCAAAATATATCTGCAAACAAAATTACAAAAATACCAAATGTGCTCATCAATCACAAATGTGGAATAGACAGCTGATTTGATCCTTCTTATCTTGAAGAAACATCTCATGAACAAGAAAATGCAGAAAGAAAATTTAGCAGGACAGGCTCTAGTAAAGCACAAAGAAAGGACTAGAGGAACCAAAAATGCATTTCAGTTTTCAAATTTCTCAAAATTTCAACAAATTAAACCCAAATGATGTAAGGTTTCTTAAAATGGGTTAAACACTTAGCTTCATCCACTTCACATAGCCCCATTACCGGAGGAAAGTTAAGAATTTAGAAAGTGCAAGTAATCACACTAGAAGCTGCTATTTTAAAGCTTTCAAAACAAATCAAGCTGTGATGTTTAAAACACTAATGCAAGCCTATCCTAGAAAAAGCCATGCTGGCACGGTGTTCTGCTCATGGCACTTGCCTCTTCAGTTTTCTGTAACTAAGATCTTCACAATGCTGCAAAGCTTTTTATATGCCAACTTTCCAGCAGTCCCAAAACTTGATAGTGAACTACAAACAAGCTTAATTAGAAATACTACAGCACTCATGGAGGATACCCTATCCAATCACAATAAGATGTTAACAGTTTGTTAAAAGTAAAGTTGGCATGGTTCTAACTTTTTTTACTTTTTTTTTAAACCTTGTTGTGCCTCTTTTTTCAATGTTCTTGCCGGATGTCTCTCTCTCTTTTTTTGATTTGTGAATAAACAGATGATGAACTGCAAGCTACTTGCAGAACCAATTTATTCTGAACTTCAGGTATACCAACACCAAAAAACATCCCAAAACCAAACACACAGATATAGAACTGAAAGGTGGTAGAGGATCTAAAAGCGGCAAGATGCTTCAGAAAACAAGACAAATTCTTAGAACTCTATTTCAAAGTCTTACCTTGCTGTCTAGGCTTTTCATGGTTAACAAATCTAGGGTTTTTAGGGAATGGCCTGTAGGTGAAATGAAATAGAGGCAGACATGGATGCGAGTATCATGGTAGCTAAATAAAGAACGTTTAATTTTCAGTTCTTCCTGGAGATAGGCTTCAAATTGTGCATCTATATAATCCACTATTGGCTGATAGCTGCAAGAAATAAAATTTAACAACCAGAGATTAGCTACTCCTAAACAGAGCCAGACTAAGAAAGGAATTCCTCTTGTATTGTTTTGTGGATTTTTGCTTTACATGTCAAAAGGCTGCTCAAGTATCTACCCAGTACAGCAGAAAATTAAAGGTACAGAGTAACCTTAATTTCTGAAAGACTACTCAAAAAAGAATTGTGCATCTAATACAGATAAAACATCTCCTAGCTACTATTAGTGAAAAAAGCTACATAAAGTTAGTTGTGATTATAACCGATCTTCCCAAGTGATGTTTTATAAATTTTTGCAATCAAGCTGTGCAACTGCAGAACTCTTAGATACAAGGAAGATACAAGAAACTCTTAGATACAATACAAGAAAAGAAAGAACATGCAATTACCAGTACCAAGAAATAGGACCTCCTTTATCTTCTGAAGATGAAGTACTGTACATGAGAGAGCTCTTAAACAATAGACAAAAATTGAAAAGGAGGAACGTAAGAGAAGAATGTAAATCTGATTTGTAGTAAGTACAGTTTAAGTATACTTTATCCTACTCAAAACCAGGTTATAATTTGCTTTCTAAAAGATAGTGTTGCTACATGTACAAGCAGCGTGCCATTACATTTCTGCTGCTACACTAAGTTTATAAACTAGATCAAATTCTATCAAAATTCAGAAGTAGTTGTTACACACAAAATTAAAAGAAGAATTAAAAGGCAGGTCCTATACCACACATCAAAACCTCTAATATCTATACTAGTATCTGCTTGCATCTCATTCATCCAAGTCACTAGCAGTAGCTATTTTCCAGTCACATCATAAGCCATAGCTTTCATGATAATCTTAATGTGACTCTCTAACCTTCATTTATAATTACCACCATTTAGACACTCATATAGCACAAAGGATTGCTAAAATTCTTTACAGTTAAGGTGAAAGAAACAAAACCTGCTGAGAGACAGTTCAATATTTGAAAATCTTCATTAATAAAAGCAGAGACTCAAAAAAAGTTCTGAAAGACACTAGCGTGGTACCTCTACACCTTCTGATTAAGCTGTCCAACATAAAAAACAGGCCTTCAGTAAGCCACATGATGTTCCTTACAGTTTAAGATCTTCAATATGTTCCAACCAAATTGTTAAAAACCCTATAGATCTAATCTATATAATCTACAGTACCTTACAACCTGTTTGGTTGTTTAAAAGGTCTCCTGTTGACCTTCTTCCTGCTTTCCTCCACCCCAAAAAAAACTCTAGTCACCATTGCACATTTTATTTACATACATTTATAAAAGATTGTATCATAAAAAAAGGGGCAGAGTTCATCTGATTTCTCAAATAATTTCCTAGACGAGAAGAAAAACATGTTTACTTTGGTGCACAGAGAAAACAGTTAACCAAATATTTGGAACATATGTAAGACAAGTATTTACTACAAAGCCCAAAGAAAAATCACCTTGCAATTGAAGACCAAAACTTCTGCATACCATAGCAACAAGAGGGCACTTACCTATCTTCTTTGTTTATCTGGTCACCAAATCCCACTGTATTTACAATGGTCAGCTTCAAAAGAACATTACTTTCCTGGAGTTCATAAGTCTGGGCTCTGAGTCGTACACTTGGCAGAAAATGCGTTGATACAGGGTCATCAAAATTGGTATTAAACAAACTGTTTATCAAGGTTGATTTCCCACTTCCAGTTTCCCCTAAAGTTCAACAGAAGGGTTGGGGAAGACACTTTGCATCAAATAAATACCTACTAACATCAAATAAACTAACTACACGTCAAATAAATACCTACTAAGCATAGAAAGTGTTATCACAGCAACTCGACAAATTTACACAAAAACTTGTCAGATGATTTATCCCAGCAAAATGGTTGCCTGCATTCCTTTTTCATAATGAGCACTAAGTATCTTTTAGTTAATTTTTTCATCCTACAGATAAGAGTGAGTTACCTGCTAATGAGTAATAAGCAGAAGAGCCTCTTGACACTGTGGTTTCTTTAAAAGTGTGAACTAATTTCCTAGAGATTTTAAAAAGTTATGTAACTAGCTGTGAAACCACGGGGTTCAACACAGGCTTTTTACGAATAAGGGCAAAAATACTAGCACAAACATTTGATAAGTATAGAAATACTTCAGTAGCACCACCCTAGAATTGTAGGATTTTTTGATCTGAAGCTCTTTGTTACAGTAAAAATAGCGTGCAGCCCAGTTTACTCAAAAGAATCCAAGAAGTTGCCCATAAATCAATAAATGCTTGGCATCCATTTTCAACATTTTTGGTCTTCATATTGTTTATGAAAATGCTATATATAAAAATAAAGGATGGATACAAATAAGCAAAGCTGGGGGAAGGGGTGGAATTATAGTTCATGCTTAACATTAAAGAAAGTTTAATATTGCAACTGGATTTAAATTTCAGTCACTTCTTAAGGACTTCTTAAGGGTATACTACTAAAGCCTTAAACCACCCAGATACTACTCACCAATGCAAAGAATATTGAAGCAGAAGCCCTGCTTGATGGATTTTTTAACCAGTTGATCAGGTAAACTACCAAAACCAACATGCCCGGACAAGGATAAGGTTCGATAGCCATCATTTTGCTACAGAAAAATAATTTAAAAATATGTTAGTGAAGTGAGTTGCAAAGCAATTAGCAATGGCAACAAAGGAACTTTTAGAGTAAGCTAGACCTCATTTCTTATGATTTACATGAAATCAAGAAAAGCAAAAGTCTGAAAAAAGATCTGTCAAATCAACTTTATTCCATGATTTGAGAAAACATTCAAATTTACTTTACAGAACTATTTGCAGGCTGAAAGTGAAGTCCACGTTTTGCAAAAAAAACCCCAAAAAACCATGAAACATGAACAAAATAAAGCAGACAAGTACAACTGAAAATGTAAACTGAAAACTGTAGTCAGAAAATAGATCACAGTTGGTTTGCTCTTAGAAATGAAGAAAAAAAAATTAAAACCAATTTAATAGGCAGAATTCAAAATAGAGACCATAATCACAGGAAGGTGTATGTTATCAATCAGAACTCATTCTGAGTAGCTGGAACTGAAATTGTTATTTATGGAAAATCATACATTATCTACACACCAGAACTCTAAGAGATAATATTATATATATGATTAGAAATGTCTACAGGTGCACATTCTTTTTCAAACGTCAGCTAGCAATCTAGCATCATGACATCAAGGAAATGAGCATACTAAAAATGCATAAGATTAAAAGAAGATATCTTGGTTCATACAAATGAACTGTATTTTTAAACAAACATTCCATATCAAAAGTGTAAACAGTGACAGGTCCATGCTATTCTTTCTCTTACATTTGCAATCCACATGCCATTACTGCTTCCTGGGAACATGTATATAGCTAATGGTAGGAAAATTTTTATTTAACACTTACAAGCCCATAAAAGTGCCACCTTTTATAACAGGTATGCATAGCAAGTTTCAGAATTCTGGTAGCTAAAAGGATATGGACATTCCTCACAGCACCCTCTGGCCAGAGTTTACTTGATTATGGTATATATGAGGAGATTTCTGGTAGCACACACATGCAAAAAATACCCCGCAACACTACATTAATAGCAAAATTTTAAAAGCTAGAGACAGAAAGATGCAGAATCTATTTCTATTTTAAAAACACATTTACTTTTTTTAGGGATTTTAGCTGCTATTAAACTGCTCAGACAATTGTCCTAAGACACAACAGAGTCTGCAGGAATCAGCTTCACCAAAATGCTGCAATAAAAGCTCTTAATTTAGACTACAAAACTTTCAAGAAATACTGTGCAGCTCAACTTGAGACAGTCTCAGTCACGCTGATTTAGAAGCCGACATTCTTGCATGTTTATACTTCTGTTCTCCATGCAACAAACGTTACAGGACTGAGAGCTACTGTTCTCATTTGGAGACTCGCCTCCCTCCACCTTCTTTACGGAAGAATCACTTTGTGAACTTGTGCCATCTGACATCAGTTGGAGCATTCTCTTAAGAGAAAAGCAATAGCCTACATTATTCCTCCTGAAATTTTCCAAGGGCATCACATGTCTCTCCCTCAATGCCAGCACCTCATACAGCTTCATTCTGCTATGGTCTAACAAATACGCAGAGAAATTAAATCCACAAAACTGACCACGTGATGCCTGCATTCTTACTACTTTTCAAACAAGTAATACGTCATCCACTTGAAAAACAAGTTACTACCGTATCACCAGGTTAGAAAAATGGTGACAACTCAAAAATTAAGAAATGTAAATCATGCTGAAAGCAATTAAGTCACCATACTAGCCAGTCTTTTCAAATTAGTATCCGTTGGAGGGAGCAGCTAAATTATGCTTGAAGACAACATCTCATCCAGTTTTATTTAGTGAATAACTCAAAGCTTGTAATCTGAATGCTACGAGAGCTGTAATATTCCCGTACATACTTCCTGTTTCTCACTGCTTTCTCAGAAATCATACTGTCATCAAAATAGCACACAATATAGATCGCTTGAGATGGTCCAAATAATTTTTTTCCCTCCCCTCCTTTTTAAAGGGTTGGTAGCATAGCTTTCACAGAACTGCATCTGGATTTCTGCAAATTCAATTAATCAGTTATATTGGTTTATATAAAGCCTTTTTGCCCATTAAAAACAGCATGCAAAGAAAAATCACTGCCTGAGACAAAAGTAACATTTAAAAATTGGTTTTTTTCTTTCAGAAACAAACAAAAAAATTAGTTATCTTTTAAATTTGCCACCTATTACAGGCTAAAACTGCACAGCACTGGGCCATTCCACAGCAAAAGCTGGGTCTCAGACTACATGCATCTCTCTGCATAAGCCTCCTGCAGAACCAGACTTGCAATCCAGGCAAATAACTAGCTTGCCACTCGGCTTGTAAAGATGACTGGAATTTGCCCTCCAAAGCTTGAGGAAAAAAAGTAATGGACGTTCGGGTGCAGAGGCAGGAGGCGAGGGTCCTGCCAGGCCCAGGTGGCTACGTAGGCTGCGCCCAGGCCCTCAGAAAGATACCTGGGCATCAGCCGTGAGGGCAGATGACGACACATTAACGTGCCCACGGACAATCCAAACACGACTCTTTCACAGCCCTGAGTTTTCCACTATCATGAACAGGTGGGGACATTCATTAAACCAAAATACCTATTTTAATCTTCCAATAACAAATTGCATTACTCTCTTACAGTCAATTACTTTCCTAATAACCAAAGTTACATTTAATCTAGTAAATATCAATGCTGCTATTGTCTCCTAATACATGAGGTAAGTAGGAAACTAAAGAGATTTTGGAAGCGAGTAGAAAAATACTTTCCATTTTTGGGAAGTCAAAATCTAAAATTTAGACGTGTGGTGTAGGCATGCATACCATTGACATCTCTCGATGCCGATATGTGCGTGAGAGAGAGACAGAGAACAGATGGGACGAGCAGAGGGAACAGAAAGGAAACCTTGGCGAAAGAACACAGAAGAGAATAGAAAATACAGGAGGATGAGGTAGGAAAAATACAAAGAAAGAAAAGTCCATGACGATGCAGAGTAAGAAAGGAGATACATTAAAAATTACATTGATTTAATACATCAGTCTATTCTATAAAATAAAAAGCAACACACAGGCGTCAAGTATGGAACAAAACATTCCCCAAAAAAGGCGTGTAGGAAGAAAAAAGTATCAGCCAAAAGACAATTCGATGAAAACTCATTTGACAATTTCGCTCACAGTTACTATGCAATTTATTCAGTATGGCAGAAACAGTAGACAACTTTTAGGGATTGGTCCAAACATCAGAAGCCCAGGATTCTTCCCCCATCTCTTTCAAATGACTTTTTACATGGCATTCTGATGCACCAACTATTTTCCTTTTCTAGCCCACTTCAACACACAATGCAGCTGAAGTTGCCTTAAACCATATGTCGCCACAAGTTTTCCTTCATACATGTATATATGGAGAGATCTTAGAAAGAAACTTAAAAAAAAAAAAGTGACATTTTTGCCCTATGTTTCTGTCTGAAGAAATCTGAGGCAGGACAGAATCTTCCTGAATGCCTTGAAATCACCCAGGATGGGCAGAGGAAAAAGTGACAGCCTTGTATGTACAGAACAGGGGGCACAATGTGCAGGTTGCTTCTAAAGACAACTTCTGGACTATATTTTGAGGTATTTAGGAAAAAAAAACAAGCAGAGACACTTTGCTAGTTTTCCAGTTGTGATGAGGTGATTTCACAGACAGCAGCGTATTCACTTTGTAAATGCCACCAAGGCCTCTCTTCACCAACAGGTGTTTAAATAACTTGACAATCTAGCACATGTAGTACCTGTTACTCAGTTGTTGCCTATGGACAGATGTGGCAAGAGGCAGCAGGTGGGGAATCAAGACTTGACGACAGAAAAGAAACCAGTTCCTCACAGCCATGTGCCTGGAAAAGGATGGTGACAACAGTGCTGGTTCAGACGGGACTGATCAGCTACTGCTACACAGAAGGAGAAAGCATTCGGTTTTGGGGTCCGCACAGAAAGGCCTCTCTTGACCTGTGTGTTTTTAAGGAAGGAAAAACAAAGAAGCTGAAATCTGGCGCCGCACTCTGAGATGACCTTGACACGGAAAAATACTCACACTGGTATCGGTACTGATATCAGAACTGCGGTCACTTTTGGAAGATCTGCACCTCTTTGGCTGTTCTGGCTCAGCTGTGCCTGTTGCAGCTTTAGCACTGTGCTTCCTGAAGAGCAAGTCAGTCGTCTTCACCCTCGACCACATCAGCCCCTTGTTGTTGATGTTCCTTGTCCGAATGAGAAAGCAATGCTGGTCTTGGATGTGAGAAGAGTGGCTGCTATTGGAAAGCCTCTTTGACTGTACCAAGGAATTTTTTTCTTCCTTCTTTTTAATTAATCAATGATGAGCACTGTATGCTGTTGTACGGCGGCAATGGCTGCCAGAACTTTCCCAGAAGTCAAATTTTCAAAAATCAGAAGTACTAAATACTTGCACCTCAGACTTTGTGCAGTCTGACTGTAAACAGATTTATAGAAGAAGGTCAGACTGCATTCTGAGAGTGATTTTACATTTCTTTTGCAAAACAACTGAAAACAAAATCTTTCCCAGAACGTAGTAAGAAACACTTTTACAATTATACAGCATGTGTTAAACTAGGAAATATTATTTGATGTCAATATAAATATATATCATTACATTTACATCATTTACATCATTTACATTTATAAACCTAATACAAAATCACCCTCCTCCATTACAGAACTATGTTATACCTCTGTTTTTACAGTATTCTCTGTAAAGCTTTCCACGTACATGCTTCTCTCTCTTCCCCTACCAAATCTATCCGCTTAACGGACCCTCAATCCCTCTCTCACTCTGCTGATTTAGTGCATCTCTCCACACTCTTCACACAAACATTAATCAGCAAAATTATTTTGTATTGTTTCTCATACTTCGGTTCTTTTCTTTCCACATTTTTCCAGTCTCCTGTAAGAGCCAGGCTGTGAAATACTGACTCTCCACCTCACTATATAGACCTAGTATTATGTATGAAGAGAGAAAGCTTATATAAAGTTAAGGGATTGCACTACATT